TCTCGTATCACACCATGAACATCGCCTAATGCGTGACGTTGGCCTTTGATACGGCTCGGGCTATTGCTAAGTGAACGAGATCCTTCAACGTATTGCTTGTCATGGCTTCTATAAAGAGTACTGCTCGCATTTCTCTGCGTTTGAAGCAATCGGTGATATTATGTCCTGCTTTCACATAGCGCAAACAACCCATTCAATTTGCATCAATGCTAGACCAGCTGCGATAATCATTGGCCGACTCTAATCGTTCACTGGCAGTTTTCTTCAAATTCTTCTCTTTACTTCCCACGTCGTTGCTTCCGGTTTCAGCTAGTCCTCCACGGTGGCACGTTCTCGTTAGTATTGAAGATGTCCACTCTCTTCTGGATTCCATTCATCATCGTGGACTGTTTCGGCCTGTTCCTCCCCCAGTAGATGCCGTCCATTCTGCTCGATAGCCAATCGTCCTTTCGCCGCTCTGGCTCGCGTCGTATTGCGAATGTCTGTCTCTTAAGCACCATGCGCTGCTTGTGCTTCTATTGCAAGAGTGACTAAATGAAAATGGCTACACAGCTGAAGGCAAGGTCAAATTACTCTCGTAGTGCCCGCATCTCCAACTTTTTTTTTTGGGCCCGGGAGACGAGATTCTGCCGATCGATGATGGTGTTATTGTGATTGTTCAGTATGGTATGGCCCAAGCGAGCGAGTAACTGATGTAAGATGAATACCATCGATACCAGACTAATGCTATTACGACGGAACGATCTGTAGACTTTAGACTGAAGGGCTTCGACCCATAATCCTCATAACCATGAAATGATACAGATGAATCCTGCTTGATTTCAATCCTGAATGTGCCAGCAGGTACTCATATAGGAGATCCGGATATCTGATATTCCAACCCTATGTAAAACCTAGCATCTGCCCCCTCCATTGATGTGAAGAGCATCCGTATATTCCAGGCTATCGACTAGACAGTCTACAAGATAATTGCTTCACCAACACAGCTATATCTTCTCATTACAAGAAACTTTACACACGTGAGTTTCGTTTCTCCATCTTCAACGAAGATATCCCTATCCATGGTAACTTAAGCAAGAGGGGTCCTTTACGTCAAAAAGGTTGCAAGCTTTTCAAACCCAGGCCCCGTGAAACATCCACCTAGCCCGCTCATACTCTATCGTGGCTCGATGGCGTGACTGAAATCATATCAGGAATCATTATCTAGTGTATCGCTCCAATCGGCCTTCTCATAGTGTCCAAAGGGGCACTAAGATCGAAATCTCAGGGTCCAAAGTAAACGTCTACATCCCACCATCACGGAAATCGAGACATTGCAGACGAGAGGGACTCGGTACTGGAGTAGGATTTCTGATACGAACCCAAGTATTGACTCAAATAGACGCAGACAAGTCAACATCTTGAATAGGGAACTCGAAAAGCAAAAAAAAAAAAAAAGAAAAGCATGATTACAGTCGCCTCGTTGTCTGTACTACCCTTTTCCATCGTCTTCTGCGTATAGTCCCAAAGAAGACATCCCCCCTTCGGCAGGGGAAAAACAAAACGCACCTTGACTGGCGGCAAGTACTAAGTAGAGTTCATATGGCTACTTCATATACTCGCGTGCCATACACCGCCAAATCACAAATACCTATTAAGTGTATTTAATAAGCTGTGGGCAACATCAAAGGGGCAAAATTCTGTGCGTGAAATCCAATCCTCCGTAGAGCGGGATGATTTCCGTTTATATATCAAAAGTAACGCCATATTGAGAAACCCCAACGTCGACCCTACCCATCAAAAGATACTCCTAGTCACACTCGTGGTAGATCCGAGAGTAAAGAATTACTATGAGTACAGATACCTCCATCTCTGATGCTGTTCCAGTAACATCACGTATTTCAATTCCCATATTCACGGCAATGATAACGATACTCGAGGCTGTAAGTCGTGAACGTGGATCGTCAAAGCTGGCCTCACTAATTGGTCTCCCGTCGTGAGCCACGCCCGTATTCAATCTATTCGTATGATATTTCCTCTCGCTGAACACCGCCAGTCATCCAGGCTTCATCTAGAACCTCTATCCCATATCCTACAACACTTCAAACCTCACCCACCGCACCTCTCATGTCTCCCCAAAAACAAAAACCCCCTTCCCCTTCCTAAACCCACCAAGCGTCCCCTGAACAGCACTCTGCAAAACCCCCTCCTCAGTACCCCAGCTCCAAGGAACCTCCTCAACAGGGACATCCCTAAACCTGCCCTCCCTAATCATCCCCAACACGTCCTCAATCGCAAACTTCCTCCCCGTCGGGTCCCTCTCGTTCCACTTACTCAACCAGAACCCGACAAACCTCACATCCTTGAAGATCAATAACCCCGTAGGCAACATGACGGGTTGCCTCGCCATTCCGCCATACGAAACCATCGTCCCGCTCTCCCCCAGACTCCGCGCCACCGCCGTCGCAGACTTGCCGCCCACGCAGTTCAACCCGAGCCCGACCTGCTCCCTCCCGCCCCGCGTCAGCTCCGCAAGCCGATCGCGCCACTCCCTCGCCAGAAACTCCTTCTCCGTCACCACGACGGTGGCGCCAAGTCCCGTCAACTCCTCCTTTAGCGCCTCCGTCTTGGCAGCCGTCTCCCGCTCCCGGATGACGTTGATACTCCTCAACCCCCACAACTTGCCCAACTGCACCGCCGCTCTCCCGACACCGCTATTCGCCCCATTCTGAATGAACCACCCGCCGCTACCCGGATCAAGAGCCTTCATTCCCCCGTCCCCGCCCGCGCGAATCTCCCCCGGCCCATAGGTCCTCAGAATCCGGTACGCCGTGCACGGGTTCACGCTGACGGTGGCAACCTGCGTAGGCGTCAACCCCTCCTTGCTAACCTTCATCACATCTTTCGCCTCCGCCACGGCGTGCGTGCGCCACGTCCCAAACGAGCTGGCGTTGGGAATCACCCAGTCGCCCTTGGCCAGCCCGGAATCCTTGGATCCCACGGACACGACCTCGAAGACGCCCTCGTTTCCCGGGATCGCAGAGGGTTCAGGGGTGCCGATAAGTTGTGTAAAGGGGGGCTTGGCGCCGTATGTGCCCTGAATGGTGTTAATGTCGGCCGGGTTGATGGGCGCCGCGAGGGCGCGGAGGAGGACTGCGGAGGAGGGGATCGAGGGGGAGATGGAGTGTGTGTGTAGTCTGTTATCACAAGCGTCAGTTTGGTCCGTTCGACTAGAGGCAAAGTTGCGGGAAGGATGAGAGGCTGCTGGACGACATACTGCAAAACGTCGCTGGGCTCGCCCTCCTTGGAGAACACAAGCGCCTTGGCCTGGGTATACCCGTACGGACCGGACTTGTATCGTCGCGCAACACGGGGGATGAGGTACTGCGCCGCCGCCGCCTGTCGGCCCGCAGCCGGTCGCAACGCCGAGGTCAGCGGCCGAAGCGCCGTCGCGGCAGTGTTTGTGCGCAAGCTCGTTGCCATTGTTGTGTGATTGTTTCAGTTGTAAACAATAAGTCGGCAATTGGCACAATGACGCAGTGTGGTGGTTGTGGGAAAGTGACGTTAAAGCGCGGGACACCAAAAAAAAACAACCGTAGCTCCAAGCTTCAGGTCCCGGCTCTGGCTCGGCAAACGGGCGACCGGTAGCTGGAGCTCCTTCTCATAATGACGTCCACAGGTCCCTCCCATTACGACCGACGAATCAGCCCACTAGCGCCGTCCCCTGGAAAAGTGCACGCCGCACGCCGCACGGGAAGGGGGTGGTGGTCCCCGCCGTTTCCGCGATTGGCTCGAGCTTCCCACCACTACACAGCAGCTCCGGCAAAGGGGACGGACGCCGTTCAGGGCTTCAAAACATGGACGGCGGCGGCTCCGGGTATTCAACGGACTCACGGGGAATACGGCATGGTAGTGTACGACAGATGGTCCGGCAGCACGCTATTCCGCACAGGTACAAGCGAGCTTCCAGCGGACCGTCGAGAATGCATGGTGACATGTTCTAGCGATCTGCTTTGCTGCAGCATCGTTCTCCAGCAGAAAAAAACTAGCCATGGCCTTGCTAGGCTCTTCTGCGCGCTAAAACAACCTGCAGATGCAAGTCTCTCGCCACATGATGCGTTCAAGGGGCCATAGCGTCAGGTTCGGATGACGCGGGGTCCATCTGCTATCATCTTCTTTTCTCACCAAGTTTCGCTTCGTTGTCTGAGACGTTACGAGCCGACTGATATCCTCACCTATTCAAAACGTGGCGAACATCAATGTAGGTCGTAAAATGTAGTCTCTATTACTGCTGCGGTTGCCACATAAGCACCAGCGGCACCAGGATGCACTTGGCCAACTGCTCCGTGATATGGCGTTTTCAGCCATCGTGGCTAAGCCCAAAGCATCTTCGCCAATTGATAGTTGCATAGGTATTGCCTCGTGCCATGTGAAAGCTGACGCGAGCTCGAGTTTTTCCTCGTTCCTCCATCGGTCGTCAGTCTCGCCACCGTTTCTTAACCCCCACAAGCTTCTCCATCAAACCCGTAAACACAAACATGTACATTGGAAGGTAAGTCGTAGAGTAGGAAAGGGTTTGACCAATAAGCCCACAAGGAAAAGAGATTCGGGGTCCATGGTGCCTGTATCTTCCAGACAGCGCAATGAGATGAAGAGAAACACACAAAACAAAGAAAGTGTAAACAACGTATGTCAGAATGAGCCCGCGGCGCGAGCTGGGTATCTTGTATAACTTCTTCCAATCTTGCCTCTGCTCCTTTTCACATCTGCTCCGTTCCATCTCCGCCTCTTTGTCCCCCAGCTCTGGCTCGAAATGAAGTTCAACTTGAGAAAAACGCTAGGAAATCGTATTGGTGCATCCGCTCGGATTCGGTCGTTCGCTCGTCGGCGCATATAAGGTGGTTTTAGTTTTCTTTTTCTTTCGTATTCGACAAAGAAGCCGGTTCCCGACTCCAAAAACCAGCAGCTCTGTAGATATTAGTCATGACTAGTGTCGGGGTAGGTCCGCATCTAGTCAGTCATTATTTAATGTTCTTGAACAAGTCGTCTCCGAGACTGCCTCCGTCTCCTATATCCAGCCTGGCCTGAAGGGCGCTTAGCTCGGGAATCATGGGCGGCGGAGGTCCTTGGACCTGAGGTGCGGGTGCTTGTGCCTGCGGCTGAGGAATCTGAGGCTTGCTTTGCGTTTGGCTGCTGGTCTCGCTGACGTTGGGGTGCTCGTAGACGACACTGGATCGTTTTTGTGGCGGAGAGGATTCGCTGGTCCTCAGCCTCTTGAACCAGCCGCTGCTTCGTTTCGATTTCTTCTCGTCGATGATGCTGCCCTGACTTCGGCTCATGGGACGGTTGTGGGCGGACTGGGTTTCGCCTTCTGCATATGCTTGGTTCAGTAATGTCCGGCTGAAGAGACGACGGATGCTGCCTTGTCTGCTTGACGCTGCTGGAGAGAGTGGTGTGTCATCCGAGAATCCTTTCGTACCATTGGTGGTGGCAGGCGAGCCTGGCACTGCTGCCGTATGACCATTTGTCTTGTTCTCGGCCTTTTCCTTGACGGCGGAACCGGAGTCCTTGGTTTCGCTCACACGCGGGGTCTGGGGAGGCGTGGGGACCTCCTGGACGGGGCTGGGGAGCGGCGGGGGGATGTTGGTTCCCTCGGTCAAGGAGCCGAACTTGAAGTCCAGCTTGGGGAGCTCAAATCGTTTCGAACCGGTGGAAGGCATGGTGGGCGATGGTGCGGATCAGAAGGTTTGTGTCATGAATTGACTTTGTTGATGCAAAGGCGAGGTTGGGCCAGGATGGGTCCGTTTGAAAGGCGAGGTTTGCAAATGGCAATTGTAGGATCCGCCAGCAGCCAGCTCGACAAACGAACGCGTGACAGGCAGTGCGTGCGGTTCGCCCCGTGGCGTGTGTTGTTGGACGGAGCAGCAGGGGGAGTCGAATCGGACCCAGTGCGAGTGCGGGTTGTGGTCTGGTGGGACAGCGTAGACGTGGTGGACGAGAAGGGAGCGAGTGCGACGCAAGAGAGTCTGGGAGGGAGCAGTGGTATCCGTAGGTAAGGATCCGCTGATCTGGTGGGTTTTGTATGGAAAACGGAGCCGAATTGTGAACGGTTCTGAGTGAGTGAATGTCGAGGTTGGTGACAGGACGGGCAGCATGCAGGGTATGCTTCAGAGCGAGATTGGGTATTCGTCTTGTGCGGTGGCGCACGAAAGGAGCAGGCGGAATGGTGGACAGGCGATGCAGTGTACAGTACCAGGTACTCGTATAAATGCAGGGTTCGCAGTACGGAGTACCTTACGAAGCCCGGTAAGGTAGTGTACGGAGTAAGGTAGGTGGTGCAGCAGGTTCGGGCTATGTATTGCCGCCGTGCTGGGATTCGAATTGGGTCTCTAGGTATCGGTACCACGAGCTTGAAGGCGGTCGTATCGAGCCACGATGGTGTTTGAATTGGCCTTGAATCGTAGCCATAGGCTGAGCAGTAGTGAGCGCGAAGACTGAAAACTCCTAGGCAAATCGAGATGACACAAAACAGCGGTGCTGGCTCTACTTGAAGTCGAATCGAGTTGGGCTCCAAGGACGTGGGGAGCTGCAGTGGCCAGAGACGAAACGACACGAGACGGCGATTGAGAAAGAAAGTAAGGCCAAGAGAGGAAGAGAGGCCCGGGGACGGTGGAGTAGAAGAATGGAACGGCAAGTCGGGGGTCAAATGGGAATTGGATGGGCAGTCTTAGACAGTAATTAGTAGACTGGACGATTGATTGCCTTTGGTTCGTTCCCTACCGGTATGCTTGCCCAGTGCTTCTTCTGCTTGGTGCTTGGTGCTTGGTGCTGGCGTGGGCGTTGGATGGCGGGATTGTGCAATGGGATTGGACTGTCCCGGGCTGGGATGGGTGAATGAATGGATGGATAGGTTGGATTGGATTTGAGATGTCCTGCAGGGGTCCAGCACTTTGCGTGTTTGTCAGTGACCAGGACTGCCAGGTCGTTCCCCGACGGGTGGGATGGCGTCGCACTCACCCTGGGGCCCCTAGAAGTGTCCGGGTACGCAAGTGCGGTCGTCTGACAAGGATGCGCCTGCCAACTTGGTGTTTTCGTCTTTTCTTCCGCTGTTCCTTTTTTTTTTTTTTTTTTTCCCTTCCCCCCTCTGCTACCTCAAGTGATCAAAGCCCGCACGAAGTAGAATTGCGGATTATTCCACGCATCGTCCGGATAGATCCCCTTTGCTTTTTTGTTCTTCTTCTGCTCCCTTGGAGTTTCCCTCATAGACAAATGAACCCTGGAGCCCCATTGCTTCAGGTTGGTATTCTGATCTTTTCGGGAAGCGACCTGAACCTAGCATTCCGCATTGCTGGGATGGCAGTTTGAGATGCCAGATTGAGGCGCCGGGCTGGACCTTTATCAACATCTGTGCCCCCCCATTCTGGATAGCTCTGGCACTCTGCTTGTTTACTTACATAAGACAGACGTCCGTCCTTCCAACCGTGCGAAGATTGACCACATTACGGCAGGCAAGAAAAGGTGAAGAGCACAGGTGCAGCTTGTCAGCTTTCAACCTAAGCCTCTAAGGTACCTTAAGGTAGGTAAAGGTAGCTAAGGCACAAGATGAAAACGGGGACCGAGAGCCCATGTGAAAGATGGAAGTAGCACTGACATTGACAATTGCACCTTCGCCTGCCTGCCTGCCTGCCTGCCATTTCTAATGCACCAACCGTGCCTGCCTCTCTCTCTCTCTCTCTCTCTTCCTTCCGCGGCAACATCCACTGCCCGTGGGATCTTGCCCGTCATGCCCCCGTCCGTCGCTTCCCCTCCTCTATCGCGCCTCCCAGCTTGGATGCCACTGCCTGCTGCATGAACATTGCTTACCTAAGTGCATATTTCCCGACATGCAACACGTAATCTTAGAGTTCGCATTATCGACTTCTCCAATCCCCAAACGTTGTTACCCTATTTACCACTGGAAATTCATCTCATTCGACTGGACGTCAAACATTCAGCATGATCGGCGCTGTCTCTCGAGTCACAGAGCCTGTCATTGGCAGCAGGGGCTTTCTTTGCTCTTCCAGGTCTGCCCAGTAGTGTATGTGATTTGGAACTGCAAGCTCTCAACTGCCCGTACCTTACTTCGTACACAGTAGTGCCATACTCTCGACTGTGCCGTCCATGGTTGTTACACTCTTACGGTCTTACCCTCAGCGCTGCGGCAAAGACGTGGAAAGCTTGGCTTCACAGCCACTGATATGCAAGAGACACACGATCCAAGATGCACCAAGTCGACGCCTGCAGGAAATTGTCCGTGAACCTGCACTAGCACAACTTGCACTACACCCTCCTAGCTGCACTACACGCTGCACACTGCTGCAAACCATACATATCACGACCAAAGGTCTGTTGGATGCATATCGGCGCGTCTCAACAGCTTCGCCTGGCACGCAGTAATCCCATCCGCCACTCCCTTCTACTCTAATACGACGTGCAGATTCACGTCGCCCACATCGGATTGTCATCTACACGAGCATTCCTCGGAACAACGCTACAGTCATTTGCCAAACATTTGCGTTCCTCTGTCTCGACTTTGCTGGGTCCGGCGAATGTCAAACCATGTCTTCCAAGTTTTCTCTCTCGGCCATTTCTGACTCCCATGTCCACGCCGCCCGCCGCCTAATATCATGATTTGGGTCCGTTCCTGAGCTAGCAGATCACACCCAACCAGCACCGCCAAAGAGATGTCCTCTTCTGTCTACCATCCTGGCAATCCGGCCACGAGCAGGCCTTCGTTTGAAGCTCCATACCTTCCCTACAGAGACGTGACCCCGTCTCAATTGGTCCGGTATGCTCGACGGTCCGGCAGACCAAGCAAACGCTCAAGGCGCCGTTGCGCCGAGCCGTGTCGCCAATAATCCCGTTTCAGCACTCGAAGTCAACCGGGGTTCATCTGCCGCAAATGGGGACACTCAAGGGAAGCTGCATTACAGCTCGCCGCCTTTTCCTACAAACGTCAAACGCCCCCCTCCGCCCTCCCGCTTCTAATCCGGTTTTCAGTCTTTGGTTCAGCGAGGCCGCCTACGGATACCGTCGACGGCATGGCTATTCGGCTAGGTATCGGAGCTTTTTTCATGTGGCGATCGTCGCAAGCCTTAAGACGACAACGCTATTCAAATTTCATGCGGCGGTCACGGCCTTGGTACGCGAGAGATCGTCATCCAGCACGAGTCAACGACACCTATAGACCATCACCTTACGCGATGCTTACTGGCTACTCTGCCCTAACCCAGTCTCCCGTACGGTCATTTATCGTGTTATCGACTTCTCGGTCAAGCGAGAAACATTGGATTCCCAAACGGGAAACCGGCTCCATTCCGAATCTCCTTGCATGCAGGCAGGCCGCTAGCACCAATCCCCACGACCATGGCCCACGATCCTTGATCCTTGAGCGCGTGGTGGTCCCTGGCCGCCCCCATCCAACGAGAAACCAGACCAGGCAACCCCTATTTCGCGTTTTCCCGTCTTCTTTTCATCAAAGATTCAAAGGTCCCGCGCACAAGAAGCTTTTTCTGCTCTAGCCCAAGACCAGGGACGAGAGATTAGAATTGGGCGAGAAAATTCGAACTTTCCCACTTGATCGCATATCCGTATCGTGGCTTATCAATGGATAGTGCCTATCAAGGATACGGACAGTTTCATGCAGCCCACCCTAAGAGCCTGGCACGCATCACGAGGCAAGAGAGTTCGTCCCCGCTGCCTGGGTCTGCAAGCAAGGGCGTTGAAACATTTCATGGAAACACATTCCCTTTTGTCGGTACGAATATGCAGGTACTTCTGACTTTTGTTTCCTCCAGGCTGTATCCGTATCAGCCGCGCTTATCGTCAAAACGTGGCATTTCCATCATAGGTCTGTCGTGGGTTTCTTGAATCTTGGCTCTGTTGACCTCTTTGGGTCTTTTTAATATCCGATTCTTCGCAAGCAGACGAGCGACGATGTCACACCGTTGTCCACTTTGGCTAGAAATGTCAGAGCGTTTGCGCCGAACGTGGCTCCGGCGCGCTGATACACCCAGAAACGATCAGGCATGACCCCATTTCTCCTACCCTGGTTCGAACGGTGCTTGCGTATCATGGTTCGCGCATCACCCGGCGTCAGGCACGGAGCCCAAAAAGATTTCCAGGTGCACACGAAAAAGAAAAGGAAAGCACATTCTGCTGACTCGATCGAGAACTGCCCGCTGCTACCTTCAAGATTACACATGACGGTGACGGTGCCGGCGGGGCATTTTTCGGAACGGTGGGAGTTCGGGACCTCACCCCAGCCGGAAGAGCAGAGAATATCCATGGACGAGGAAGTATACGGACTCTCACCGAGGTCCGAACCTCAGACCCTTTTGCCGTCATGGGCCCGAGTTGCATCTTGGCTTCGCACTGGCCATCGGCGGGCCGGCACGGAACCTATCGGACGACGATTGGTCTTCGAGACGCGGAGGCAAAGCTGGCTATGCGCCAATCCTCGACGGTGTTGTTGTCCGCGGCCCAATGCACAAGCGTCAGCACTCTCACCTGCATGATGTTTTGTATTATTGTGAACGAAGAGTCGTGGCCTCGGAAAACCAAGCGCCGCTCGTTGCTTTCCGTGCACAATTGTAGGTATGGCGGAACTTAGAAGCACATGCCGCGAGAGGCTACATTCAAGCTCCAGATCGTGATTCTTTACCCTAGCACGACAAATGGA